AGAAGATAAAAGCAGTTGTGAGGTTTTGCTGACTGACCAGACTAAAAACACCCTCAAGATCAACTTCTTCCAGTGATCCAGGAGCAATTTGGTGACATTCTGCACAATTTCCAGCATTACGGTGCCCCGTGTCCCAAGGCAAAGTGACTCAGCGGTCATTAGATTAACATAGTCTGATCCAGAATCTACGCTCAGTCCTTAAAAAACAAATGGACATGCAGAACAAGGCAGGAGTGGATCTCCACCAGGAGCTGATCTGTTTATTTACAAATATACAATGTTTGCCGTCTAATGATTTAAGTTGTTTCCCAACAAGTTAAAGCTGTTTTACCCTGTACGAATGAAAGACCTTGCAGATTTTATTTTTTATTATCATTTAATAATTAATATCTCTATTATTCACTTGAAACTGACCAAACAAAAAACAATTTTCTCTTCTGTTTGTGTTCTTCTATAAATCTTGAAGCTTTTGACTGGTCAGAATTAAGATTTTAGTTTCTTATAAATACTGTTTATTTTATTTGAAAATACCTTTACAGTACATTTATCATTTTCCAGTAGAAAATAAATAATATTTAAGTCAAGAGTAACCTCATAACTTCACTTAGGAGCAAAAAGGAATCTTTAACCTTGACAGTGGTTTAGTGATTTGAATTATTATATTGTTATTATATTATAATATTGTGATATAGTTATTGACTAAGATGTAAAAATTGTGATACAATTTTTCTTCCATATAAGCAAGCCCAAGCTGAACAGGTGTAATTAAGTGTCCAGTGTGTATTATAAACAGAGCAGAGATATGGTTTGATTCAGCGTGTCCTTACAGTCGTTCCTGTCAGAGGCCTCACTGAAGACACCGCCCACAAAGACCACCGTAAGAGTTTCTGTCTGCCTTAGCTGACACCCGGCTTGCGATGGAAGCAGCAACCGGGCAACACATGAAGGCAGCATGGCGGAGGCCGCCTCACATGCAATTAACCTGATTCACTCAGTACCTGTGAGTCCACATGGCAGCTCAGGCTCATCTTCCTCTTCCTCCTCTTGTGGTTTGTCAGCAGCTGCATCTCCATTGTCATCTGCTACTTCTGCCTCCTCCGTGTCCTCCTCCCCCTTTTCTTCTTCTTCTTTTGCAGTTTTGCTCTTTTTCACGGCTTCAATCAGAACACGGACATTAACTGAAACACCAACAAAGTAAACTTGAGTGTGTTACGCGTATAAAGGGCTCTGTTTTTACCTGGAGGTTCAGCACCCTCAGCCAGCTGCTTCCTTTTCGCTTTCTTCTTCATCTGAGTTTCCTCTGTGCTGGTCCCTTCCACTGGTCCCTCTTCCTCCTCCTGATTCTTCTTCTTCTTCTGTTTCTTCTTTGGCTCTCTGGGTACCTCCTCCTCGAGGCCGTTTGAGCTCACCGTCAGACTCACTGGAAATATGATCAAAGTTTGTTGCTAATAAACCCCAAAGGAAAACTCTGGAAGCCTGGTTAGCACAGTGCTAGCTAAATTGTTTTGTATGCTAATCTTTTGAGCTAATATGCGGCGAAATGCGCATGCAGTTGTGTAGCAGAAAAATATACCTGCATGCGCAGCTACAGTGAACCCAAACTCAGATTTAAACCTTAGAAGAGTAAAAAAGGTTAGAAACGGAACAGGGAAGAGAGCTGCCTGTTAGCTTAGCCTGCGACATCAGAGTTTACCTAGCCATCAAACACTCACCATCTTCTCCTTCTTCTTCTTCTCTTGTTACTTCGTCTTTCCGCTTCTTCTTCTGCAATTTGCGCTCTCTGTCCTTCTCGTTTCGCTTCTGGATCTTCTTTCGGAGAAGCTTCATCTGGAGGTCCGCCATGGTTACTGAGAACACGGCGCACACGTGTGTATGTGAGTGACGCTCAGGACCCCTCAGTGGAGCAGAGACAGACAGCGGCCCGCAGCGCCTGACTGAAAATCAAAAAGGACCCCGCGTGCTGTGAAAACAACCGAGATAATGCCTAAAAGAAAAGACACCTGAACACGGGAAAAATAATGAAATAAAGATAATCAACACTGAAGTGTGGAGTAATAATCATTAAATAATATGAAGGCACTACAGTTAGCTAAAACACATTATCAGGAAGCTTTACTTATAAATCACCCTATGACTTTTTCCCCGTTTTCTCAGTTTTTTACAATTTTTAATTGATTTTATTATTTTTTTAAATAAACAAATAAGATATATTCTTTTGTGGCAGGAAGTTTGCATACATTGATGGAAATTAATGTATGCACAAATGACTGAAGACCCTATTAAGAAAAAATAAATAAATTTTAAAAATTAAATTTCTTTAATGTTAATTTTGCAGGGTGAAAATGCTGGAATAATAAATTAGTCTTGAAACACTGTTTTAGGATTAAGGTAGAAATTTGCCTTTTTAAAAAGCATAAGCATAAGTTTGGGGTTTAATTTGCAGTCCTGTTAGTTCAGGAGGAGCTGTGACTTACACACCCTTTCCAAAAAATTAGGATATCATGGAAGAGTTTAGTTATTTCCATAATTCCATTCAAAACAATAAACTTTCATAGATTATAGATTCAGGGCCCACAACTTAAACAATTTCAAGTGCTTATTTATTTGTACATAATTTGGGCTTCCAGCTCATAAAACCCACAAAAACAGGATTTCAAAAAATTAGAATACTGTGAAGACATCAGCCCAAATTTTACAGGGCATGAATGTTTTAAACAGAGTTTCACACATAACTCATCTACTAACCTGAAAGCACCTGCACAGGTTTTCCCAGGTGTCATTAAATTGCTTCACTTTGACCCAATTGTCTCAGTTAGGTTCAATATAGGGAAGACTGCAGACTTGACAACTGGCCAGACGAGCATCATCACCCGCCATAGGATGGGTAAGCACTAAAACCTGGTTTGATTGCCATGCCATCACAGTGCCTCGCCAGCAAACTCGCAGGACCTGAACCCCATTGAGAATCTTTGGGGTTTGAAGAGAAACATGAGGTCCATCAGACCCAAAAACAAAGAAGAGCTGACAGCAAGCACCAAGGAAATCTGGGCTTCCATAACTACCAGGCAAGGCCACAGACTGATTGCCTCAATGCCACGGTGCATCGAGGCAGTGATTAAGGCGAAGGGACTGAAGATTGACATTTCATTTGAAAATACTACGTTTTGATTAATTCGATGTGATCCTAATTTTTTTTCTGCAAAAAAAGGAGACGTTAATGGTGATGTCTTCACAGCATTCAAATTTTTTGAAATCCTGTTTTCGTGGGTTTTATGAGCTGGAAGCCCAAATTATGTACAAATAAACACTACTTGAAGTACTTGAAATCATTTAAGTTGTGGGCTCTGAAGCTATAATCTATGAAAGTTTAATCTTTTGAATGGAATTATGGAAATAAACCTTTCCATGATATTCTAATTTTTGGGAAAGGGTCTGTGGTGGGTCTCCATGCTTCCATCTGCAGGACAGTGGGGGAAACTGCAAATATTTCCTCATAAATCCATCACAGCTATGTTTAGAGCAGGACAGGTCACTAATTCATAAAGAAAAGGGCCAACAAGGCTGAAAACAAGAGTTTCTTTATTCACAACAGAAAATCCAAACAAGTTTTTTTTCTTCTTTTAGCTGGGTAACAAAGAGCTGCCTTGTGCTTAAAGCTAATTTCCTCATCTTATTCAGTTTTCTGAATGAAGACCATCCAAAAGTTCAACTACAGGCTTATAAACATTTACTTTGCAAAGGCAGAGATGTGTCTTTAGTTTAAATTCTAGCTATGATGGCCCTGAGGTGAAAGATCCAAAAATAAAAGAAAAACTAGAAAGAAAATGACAGCCTTCTCTTCCATCCCTCCAAACCCTGCTCACCTTGCCCTGACAGACTCTCAAGTCAGTCCAGGGCTAAAGGCTCATCTTCAATCTTTACTAAATCTGGCTCCCCATCTTTTTTAATCTCAAACACCTGAAGAATAACCTGAGGCCCGTTCCCGCTCAACCCCTCTGCTGACTGCCCTGGATCGACAGGTGGTGCTAACTGACTCCTGGACACCCTCCTATTCTCCTCGCGCCTCTGCGACCTGCTTCCAGTCCTATGCCCTTTGTTCCTCCTCCTCCTCAGAAGCCTCTGGCTCCAGGAGATGTTTGAATACAGCTGCAGAGGATTGCAGCAGCTTTGCGTGCCATTCCCCGTCACTGAGGATGCCGCTCGAACACACCGCCTCCGCATGTCCTCCTCCACCGCTTTGAGCACCAGGTCTGTGATGTCTCTGCGGAGCCTCATAAGCAGCACAGGGTCTTCAACCTGCCGCATGTCAGCCAGCATGACCTCAGCAAACTGGTTGAGGACGTCGTGTTTGGGTGCCGTTTTATCAGGTTGATTGTTTTCATCGCGATGATGCGGACAACTCAGAGACACGACCTCTGTGACCCGAGGCTGTGGACACTGAAGTGGGGTGACGCTCGGGGCAGAGTCCACAGACTGGGGCTCATCCAAGTCTTGGCCACCTCCATCTGCATCCAGCTGGCTGCTTACTGAGCTGCCCATCTCCTGATCAATGCTCCCCTCAGTCTTCAATTCCTCTTCATCCTTCTCATTATGATCCACAAAGTTGTCCGCCTGCAAACAAACAAACAAACAAAAAAAAAACATGCAGTTTAGAGGATTTATAGATATAAATCCTTTATATAGATAAAGCTACCCTGTGATGATGACAGCGTCAGTCGCTATGGAGCAGGCTATCAGTCTGAGCTGTCCAGCTGTATCCTCCTTTCTTGCTGTTCAATAGGCTACTGAACAAGTTTAAACTTTTTAAAATTATGCAAAATTGCAAAACTCTTAGCCGTGTCTCTAATAAAACCTCTGTAACTTTGCTCTGTTTCACTTCAGCAGCATCAGGCAATGTTCATATGTTGATTAATGGTTTTCTTTCATTTTTGATCTACTGCAGACAGAATATTTTTATAAAATCCCAGGCCAGGAAAGTCGGCTTCATGTTTTTCTGTGTTTTATCCTCAGTTACTTTGACACAAAGGCGTCTTCTGTGATGCTCACACCTTTGATAAAGTCTCGCAAGTGTCATCTTTCTTTTTATAGATATAAAAATATGGAAATGTACAGATGCATGATCGATCTATCTATCTAAATTATAATATTTCTGACTGAGGCAAAATTTTCCCCGATTCCTCGATTCGAGACCTTGTGAATCGGATCGATTCTAGAAATCAGTGACGATACCCAGCCCGATTGATTACCTCTAACTGAGACTTGTGTGAAAACCTCTGCACAAAGTTTCATGATTCAAAGCCGTGTATACTTGCTAGCATCTGCCTACTGGGAACAAACTCTCCTGGGTAGGGTCCTTCTGCCAGATTTGTTGAAAAGAATTTCCTCTTCCTACCGGTAAGCAGCCTTTTAGAACACGAGTCATTTGAGAGAAGAAGAACAACAAGCTGCAAAAATCTTTATATCTGACCCTGAAAAACTAGTTCAATTATTTAATTCTTACAGGCATGACTATTTTGACTCATTATTATCACGATGTCCTCAAAACTCCTTGAATTTAATCATTAATTATTATTAATATCTGGCGCTCTTTCACAGTGCGTCTTTTGTTCTGTCTCCTTCTCCTCAGCCAGCTCCCTCTCCCCCTCCCTCAGCCTAGTTCTTCCAGTTAAAAATGACATTTTCCTCCCCACTGTCACCAAGTGCTTGCTCATAGAGGGTAGTCTGAATCTTGTTGTTTCTTTCTAATATTAAAAGAAATAAAATGGCTTTGCAAACACATCAGACCCAGCACAACTTAAGTACTTATTTTGAATTGAATATTTGCGCTCCACCATTTGAGAAACTATCCGGTTTTGCTGTTAATTTGCTGTTCAATGCAGCAGGAGGTCGTCTGCTGGGTTTATCAGTTTTGCTGTTGACTGTGTTTGAGTTAGTCATTAAAACTATATTAAAAAATTTAAAGCCAAAAATGTAAAATGCTAAAAAAAACGCTTGATCATTCTCATGAAGTCTTCAAAAAATTACACATTAGACACAGCCCTCTGAGTTATTCTAAATATAAAGGACTTGCTGCTGCAACTTTAACGTCCCCCCCAATTTTCTCACCGATTGATGTTGTTATTTCTTTAAACTGTGATAAGGACCTTCTTTAATATTTAGGAAATGGATTTTTCTCTTTGCAGACTTACCAGAGATGAATATCCTTTCCTGCGAAGTTTGTAAGGCTTCAAGAAACAGAGTTTC